CATCCTATGTAAGCTGAAACTTGCATCTGCTCATGTTTTTGAGCAAACAAATCCTGAAGTAGCATCACCTCTCGTTTACCCCGACAAGGCAACTGAAATTTTGAAGCATTTGCATTCTTACTAAACTTCATATCACTCTGCTTCGGTTTGATTTTTCGCGCATAAATCACGGTTTAACTACTTTAGTTTTCATCATTCACCCGCTTAACTGTGAGGGCTTTCTTCAAGCAATGTGCTGAACTCTTCCTTCTTAAAATTTTTAGTTCATTTCAGCTGTATGCTATTCAGGAGTATCATACTGGAAAAAGGTAGTCATCATGTCGATAAGGGTCGCATTTGCTCGTAATCCTCCAGATGCCTTTTCGAACTGTCTTCACTTTCCAACCCTTGATCCAACTTTTAGTTGTCCATTTCCAGGATGGTGTGCTGAGGTGAGTATAAATATGTGTATCTGAGGGTTAAAGAAGAAACAAGAAACTATGTACGAGCAAAGCTTGAAAATGCCTTCAAAAGGAGATGCCTGGAGAGCGCGAAATTATCTCAAGTGATGGAAGAGTATTTTCAATGAAAATTGTATTTCTTCAAGAAATCAATTTATTGCCTTTGCTTTTATATTCAACACAACTAACAGTAAGCTCTTGAGGAGAAAAATGCAAATTAACTGTTTGGTGGTAAAGAAATTGAATTTCTATAAAATTTTTTGAATAAAACCAGTCTACTCAACTTTTTAGGTGATGAAAATGCTTGCCGATTCGCTGAAACTTGAAATAGACACAGTGCTCTTCGACAACGATGTTGGATCCCTTAATTGGGGAACTTTACAGGTCAGTCTTGGGCAACATCTTGGGTCTTGGAACAGGTGCAGCGTCTAAATTTTCAAAAATGAATATGAAAAGGACATAATATGTATGCTTTCTTTGACTGCAATGAGAATTTAAGTAAAAAGAAATGATAAGGAGTGTATTAATACACATAACCAAACTGGAAGAGATTTAACGTTTTAACATATTGCTAGATGTTAAGTTTTCTCTGCTATTGATGGCGCGATAATTGCTTTTTTTGTGATATTGACTATCTGATTTTCGTCTGTCCTCATATAGTACTTCAAATGTATAGCGAAAAAAAATCCATCACACTTAGATTGTTTGGTGAACTTGGTGATAAAGATCTTTTTGAATTTTGCTTTATTCTTCTATTTTTCACAAAATAGACCCTGTACTTTTTTTTCGAAAAATTTGAAGGAAAAATTACAGTGAAGAATTGTATGCAAGTTTAGATTCAACAGCGAAAGATCAAATTTGCACTTTTAGGATACATGTAGTCGATGTGCAAACTCTCTTAATTGCAGAAAGTTTGCGCAATTGAATTCTGCGATAAAATTTTTTACTTAGACAGGAGGACCTCTAGCTTGAATTTCTGAGTAAAATATTTTGAATCTAAAACTGCGATTGATCTTTGTAAGCACCGATCTATCTGCAACGTCGTCCCTATCTGAAACATTGATTTACAAAAAATTTTAGATTCTTCTCCCTTTCTTCCTTTCTCAACAGAAGAAAGAACTGTGAGCATATAGCTTGTGAGCAGCTCACAAGTATTCCTCTGTTGAAAAAAAAAT